CGCACACCCACCCAAAGATATATTTTCCCTACTGTAGTAGTGGGAGGGAGACAAATTCAAGGCAAACCTCCAATAATTAGATTTGATACCTGGAAAATTATAACAAATGTATACATAGTCCATATATAGAATCCAATTATTGGGGGGGGTCATCTTGTATTTGAGTAAATATATGAGCAAAGCAAGTATTCATGCTGTTAAAATGGAATAGGCATATATGCTTCTTAAAGCAACAAGAGCAAATTCCAGTCTCTGACATGCTGGCTCATGAACGTCCTACAAAACACACTGACAGATGCCCATTTGCCAGGGAGAACTTCTAGACTCTTCATATACTATCCCAGGACAGTAAGCACTAGAACAGTTATGCTTCCAAGCCAATAGAGACATTTGCTCCAACATCATCTAAAAGCTGCCGCACTGCTGAGAGACAAGAGGACCAAGACTTGCAAGAGCACCCCCCCCCCCCCCCCGAGGCCTGCAAATCCAGTTAAAAAACCATTAAAACTCGTTTAAAATTAGGGACTAACCAAATAAACTTGGTTTAAATTTACAGAAGGGGATAAAATAGCTCAGGGTGCTTTGCGATCCCTTGTTCACGGTACATTAAACAGATTAAGTCAGAGCCAAAGTAAGTTTCTTGAGAACAGTTTGTCTGTTTTCTTTGGTACTGAGCACTAACAGCTGAAGAGACTTGCATGAAGCACAGTTAAAAATAATGCCATTACTCTGCCTATTGTGCAATCCTCCTGCGCAGATTTTCACCTTGCACCACTCTCCCCCAGCAGCCCTTGTAAAACCACAGCTTGCTGGGTTGGCACAAACACGACTGGCCCCAAACACACACGCAGCAAATCCTACCGCGATCTATCAGGGATGAACTGACGCAGCTTTCTGCTCTGCCAAACTGTTCGCAGCAAGTGCCGTCTCCAAGCAACAGAGGATGATGGGGAATGGAAGCAGGGACGGCTGATGGTTTTGAGAGCTCTTAAGAGAAACCAATTGCTCCTACTTGCGGGGGGGGGGGGGGCAAACTTCCCTGGAAAACAGGCTGTAAAGTAAGCCCTGCTCCCCCAAGTATCACTGATCTGTGTTGGTCTAAGAACATAGGCAGACAAGGTTCTTTAGGGAAATCCAATATCTTTTATTAGATAGTTGGAAAAATTCTTCTTTGCAAGTTTTTGGGTACAAATCATCAGACCGGTCCTGTTAACCTGGCTCTTGGCGGTGACCCCTAACACGTCCTCTCACAGCAGCATCCTGCTGTGAGGCCTGGCTCCCCACCTCCCTTTACTCAGTGCCCAGAGATCACATGTCACACACAGCAGCTGCCAGGCATGCATGGTATAGAGCAGAGGGATACACTACCCTTAATATCACCTAAAATTGTATCATCCTTATAAATGGAACCAGGGAGCATGCAGGTGCCTGTGCTGGGAGGCGCACTGAAACTGGTGCCTGCAATTTTAAACTGAACGCTCAAGACTGAGTCAGAGCTTTGAGGAGCAGGAAAAAACCCCACGTGAAGACGTCTGGATCCGAGAGCCAGAAGCAGACTCAGAGATCAGTAACTAGAAAGGAAGCTGACGTCAAATGGAAATATACCCAGTCAGTACCAGGGCAGTGCATGGCATGAAGCAATTTAGCTGGCACTATAAAAAGCTGTGCAAACTACAGCTATTTGAACACAACAAGGTTGAAAAGGCAGCAGTTCCTAAAGGATTTCAGGAGTCTATTGGAGCAGAGCTGCAATTCTGCTGCTGAACAGGACGTGTTGATCCGGCATAGAGAAACAAGTAGGAAAGAGGTCAGAGAATTTTAACAGGCATTAGACAAAGAGAAATGCTGCAGATTACATTCATTCACTCTGTGAGGTCTGCCTGACAGCTTATGCAGCAAATGACAAATAGAGAGGGCTGGAAGCTCTCACAAAAAACAGTGTTCACTGTTATGGTGCCTTTACTGTAGCAAACTGTGTGTAATGAAATCAATGTTTGTCTCCTCGGAAAGCCAGAGAGAACGCTTGGGCATCCTATGCATTGCTTAAAGCCCTTCCCTGAAATCATAGGTTCAGACTGCAGCACAAATCAAGTCAGCTAGACAGGCAGACTGATTGAAAACCATTTGTTTACTGTGCACCTGTGGATACTGTAGGATCCTTGACAATCTATATAAAAGGTAAAACAACAGCTACTGCTTGGTTTGAAAAACAGTAGTAGAAAATTCTTGTCTCGCATGCCAAGCAGCAAGAAAGCTGTGGAAGATAGAGTGTGAAGTTCACAACGTAGAAGTTTATATGACTGCATTTTGGCTACACATCATCGAAGTTATCGACATTCAGCTACAATCCGTGATAAAACCCAACACACGTAATCACGGCCAAGATCCCAAAGCAAATAAACTACTGCTACTGTGAGATCCTGAAACCCTATGATCGTAACATGATACTGTGCGTGTCCTTCAAGGAAAAAGCCTTCTAGAATCAAAACTTCTTAGAGGCTATATTTGGGGTATTAATAAATGTACATTTTAGCTGCTTTAAAAGGGGATGGCTAGGGAGCCAGCTGCTGTGAGCTAACTCTCACATCTGCATGGTCCTGTAGCAAATTTAAGTTTGCTGAACGACCCTAACTAATATAACCCTGCTTCATGTAGTGTCAAAAAGTTGGAAAGCTTTTGCTATGCCCACAAAAATCACGCATGCATAATTGTAACAGCTTAGATCAGTATCTTTGATATCAAAGGGTTAACATCTATTTAGGCCCTTGGACAATATCTCTTTAAAGCAACGATATGATCTAACAAGCAAACTAAGGAGTCTGATGCAGACGCCCAACATAACTGCAGCTTTGAGAATGACTTTGGTAATATGGGCAAGGCATTTAGTCACTGAGCCACTTGTCATCCCTGATTTGTAACAGTACCTATCCAGTCATGTCAGAAGAGTTATTCCTGACTCACACAGCGAGTAGGCAATAAAGATCACTGTCTCAGTTTCCTGTCTCTATCCAGTTAGGGTGAGGAGGGTTAAAGCTGGTATGCAGCATTTGATACAAAAAAAATACCAATATAAATCTGAAGGTGTAAAGTGCTAGGTATAAATTCCGATAGCAAACAATCCAAAAATGTATCTGATATTTCAAAAGCTCTGTAAATCATCTCAGACAACTCAACTTCCTCAACTCCTTTTATAGGATGACACGTGTTGTGCTAAGGGAACAAAACAGGAAGCAGAAACAAATTCCTAAAACATATCAAAGACTCTGCACACTGAAACAAAACAGTCTAAGGCCATAAAAGCATGTGGACTTTAAGGCTCAACGGACAACGGATATATACACAACCTGTTGAAATCAATCTATATTTTGGTGAAGAATTTAATTTTTTTTTAAACTTTGGAACTATTTAAATACCAACAAACTAGAAACTGATATGAAAGATGCCTATTCAGAGTACACAGCACACCTATGGGCCCGTGCCATTAGCCTGGACTATTACAGATATCAAAACAAAATCTTTCACATGGAGTGATTTTTTTTTTTTTAAACAACAAATATCTGTAGTAATATAACCATGATAAAGCAGTTCTCAAAAGATACTTCAAACCATTATTCCAAGTTTCGTTTAAACGGGCATTAAGGGAAGCAAAAGTTATAAAGTTCCACCTGAGCTTTTACTCTCTCCATTTACAAAAAAAAAGGGAGGAGGAAGTTTTCACTATTACCTCTTTTGTTTCCTCAGGGTCCGAATGATCCACAGTTACATACAAGTCGTTCTGTAGATATTTCAGTGCGCTGAGTGGGTCAGTTTGGGCCTTTTCTTCAAACCTGCAAAGTGGAAAGAGATAAATGAGCATCTAATCATTCCACACATTTCTTTAAAGACAGCTCGGTCCCTGTCTGTTAAGCATCTGAGCCTAAGAGCAGGGTTTGATCTTAGAATAGTTGAAAGGGGAGGGGCAGGGGAAATAATGCCAGGCACTAATTTCTTTTAGCAAAGGGAACAAAAGACTTTGTGATGCACTGAAGTTATACTAGTGCAAAGTATTTTGCAAACAGTCAGGTACATGAGTTGTAAGTTTGCAGTTTCTCCATTTTACAGATAGATAAACTGAGGCATTGAGTAGTAAAATGACTTGCCCAGGGCACTCGTACAATGTACATCAAACGCAGAACAATTTTTGGCACCCTAGCCTAAAGAACAGAAGTCCTCTCTGCCTACTAGCAGGCTAGAAACAGCCAAGAACTCATCTTGCCTCTTTCAAAAACTTTTTTTCCCCCCTTGTGTCAACTTATTCCTCCAGGGATAAAAGCAGAGGGCTACAACAGGGGCGTCAAACTCATGTGGCCATGTGCGGTGGGTGAATGGCTCAGGGCTGACCCTACAGGACCAACAGGGCCCACAGATACTCCCCTTTCCTCCTGCATACCAGAACCAGTGACTGTTCTGGTCTGGCTGGTCCAAGACTGCACCGGGTGTCACGCCTGGTCTGCATGCAGCACCTACTGCAGACTGGTTGGAGCAGGTGCCGTGTACATGCCAAAGCAGGTGCGAATGGTATGGCTCTTGTCCCAGACTGGCCAGAGCAGATGGCACAATCCTGGATTGACTGAAGCAGAAGCCATGGACTCTTGCCAAGGCTAGCACTGGGGGCCAGGTGATGTTGCTCCATAGGCACACTTTCGACACCCACAGGCTGCAATCTCTTGAAATGTCATTTTCAGGAACCCTCAATGACTAAACCCACAACTGCAAGTTGGTCCGCCCAAAGACAAGTGAATAGATTCGGATCAGTCAGTCTGGCTTTGAGGACCGATTCCACGTATTACACAGACTCCTCAGATCACAGAAAAGATTCGTTTTTCACTTCAAGCTAGGTGAATGGACCTAGCTAGGTTAATGGACTGGCCGACGCCAACATCCTAATGGATAGCCAGTACGGGTTTGTTGCAGGTAGGTCTTGCTTGACCAGTATCATTTCCTTCTACGACCAGGTGACCTATCACCTGGACAAGGGAGAAGAGATTGATGTCATATATCCTGACTTCAAAAAAGCCTTCGATCTGGTATCCCATGATCACCTCTTGGCAAAACTGGCCAACTGTGGCCTTGGGTCCACCATGATCCGCTGGCTGGGAAATTGGCTCCGTGGTCGGACCCAGAGGGTAGTAATTGATGGCAGTCAGTCATCGTGGTGTCTTGTGACCAGTGGGGTCCCCCAAGGCTCTGTCCTTGGACCCATATTGTTCAACATCTTCATCAATGATGTGGACGTTGGAGTCAGGAGTGGACTGGCCAAGTTCGCCGATGACACCAAGCTTTGGGGCAAAGCATCCACACCAGAAGACAGGCAGGCAATCCAGGCTGACCTGGCTCAGCAAATGGGCGGACGAGAACCTGATGGTGTTTAACACCAAAAAATGCAAGGTTCTCTCCACCTTGGGAAGAAAAACCTGCAGCATCCTTATAGGCTCGGCAGTCCTATGCTGGTTAGCACTACGGAAGAAAGACTTGGGGGTCATCATTGACCACAAGATGAACACGAGCCTGCAATGTGATGCTGCGGCTACTAAAGCAACCAGAACACTGGCTTGCATCCAT